AAATCTAAAAAATCTGAAAAAAATATATGTTAAACTATAACTAATAAATTTTATTTTAATATAAAAATAAAAATTATAAATTTTAATATAGAGAGAAAATTTTAATTTTCACTATATTTTATTAATAAATTTAGTTCCTAAGTCATTACTTTTAATCATCACTGTATTATTAATTATTAAAAATATAATTATTTAATAATATTAAATTTTATAAAAGATTGAGATCTTTATAAATATATAAATTTTAACTTAAAAAAATTAACTTGTACTAAATATTAAGTTATTTAAATTAAATTATTAGTAATTATAAAGATATTTATAAAAAAATTTGAATATTAAGATCTTTACTCTGGAAATATATTAATATTAAATTAATTATAGAGAAATATAAGTAATTTGAAATTTAAAAATCATATTTATATTTTTATTAATAAAATTCAATTTTTAAATTTTAATTCTAAAAGTAAAATATATAAAAACAAAAGTATTAAAAAAATTTTTTTTAAATTTTTTAAATTTTTACAAGAATTAAAATTATTTAATCTATAAATAATATATATAAAACTAATACTTGTAGTATTTTTTGTATAATACAACAGAATTTCTAAATAAAAAAAGCATATTAAAATAAAAAACTAACAAATATAATATTTATCATTTAAGAAATGAATTACATCAGAATATATTATGCTGAAAGAATTTTTATATTGAATAATAATTGGAATTTTCTTATCATAAATTCTAACCAGATCAACCCAAGCGGGTACAAAACGAGCTTCAGCTCCTGGAAAGTAACGTACCCGGGGTATTCTAAATGGTATTAATGGAAATATTGAATCTCCTACTTCATTATCTCGGTTGACTCACACGCAAAGATTATAGTAAAGCACGCGCATTATTTCAAACAGTTAGATCGGGGCCAGCATTTATAAATATCACCGTGATTCCGTTTTTTTAATTTCTCATTCAATACTTATTAATGAAGCATTTTTTAATAATACCAGGACTATGAGCAATGGTCTACGATTTTAACTTCTCGTGACTGTAACTGTTTGCTTTGCCATAATTTGTTATTAACCATGATGCTTTTGTATGTGGGTCAACTGCTATTATGACATGGTTTGAACTTTAATTTCTTATAAGTTACTCTATGTATTTTAAGAAAGATTTTATTGTTATAGTAATCATAATATCATAATTAGAAGAAATGACTTATGTGTGACCTTAATCACTTTTATTATATAAAGGAAAAGAAGTTATTGAACAATTTGAAAATATTTGAAATTGTAGTCTGTCACAAGAAAGCTCATATGCATTACAAGTTAATAAACACGATACCAAATCAAATAGTTAATTTAATTCTGAGAATGTGAAGAAATTCTGTCGCAAAATAATTTCTCGTTTAATTATAAGCTTTTATTAAAGGGACAAAAATCTTTATCGTTATAAATATCTATCGAAAAATATCAAGGTTCAAGACGCTTAGGATCACGTGGAAACAATGATGATCTACGAATATTACCAAGATTTAGGTATAACATGACTACGCGTTCCAAACCTGGAAAAAACGAGAATATATAATTGATTAGAATACCATAATCATATAAAACAAAATAAATAAATTTCAGCTTATTATATTACCAATACCGCCACCAGCGTGCGGCGGTGCCCCACGTTTAAATGCATCAATATACCCCTGTATCGTTTGCGGATCAATGTTATGTACTTTGGCACGTTCTTCCAGAAACGCGGCGTCATGAATACGCTGAGCACCTGATAGTATCTCTTCGCCTCGCATAAAAAAGTCGTATGAATTCGAATATTTCTATTGCATTCGATAAAATTATTGTAAATTTCTTTTATGAATATATTTATTTTTAAAAAAAGCTTACGTCATTATTTGGGTCAGGCATTGTGTAGAAAGGGCGCACTTCTAAAGGAAACTTATCAAGCATGTAAAAATCGGTATTATATTTTTCTTTTACTAATTGTCCAAGAATACGTTCCGTTTCCGTGCTATTTTTATCACCGAACCAAATAAAAAAGTTGCGTGATTAATTAGCCTTTTATCAATCGACTGGGAAAAATTCGAAAATAAAAACATTAAACCTTAAATCATCATAATCACCAATCTCCACCCCTTTTTCTCTTAACAGTTTCACAGCGTCTTTATACTCTAAACGCAAAGTTTTCGGTAGGAACTCAAAATCCGGTGCCTTATGTTGCCTTTTCACAGTCTCAATCTCGGCAGCGAATTTGGTCTTGAGTCCTTGAAAGATGAACACGAATAGTTCATCGAGTACTTCAAGAACCTCGTGATAGTGTTCTTCGAATGCCATTTCTAGATCGAGACCCACGAATTCGGTCATGTGACGATGTGTGTTTGCGTTTTCAGCGCGAAATACTATCACAATGAAATCATTAAATGAATGCGTGAATGATGAAATCGAACAGATGAATGAAGAAAAAATCAATTTACCAGGAGCTATTTCAAACACACGGTCAAAGTCAGAACATATGCACATTTGTTTATAGAATTGAGGTGACTGTGCAAGAAACGCCTCAGCTAATATGTTGGGCATATGAAATCAATTATTTTAGTCTAATAAAAATTTTTTACAACAAAAAATATGAATATGTAATACTTTTGAAATATTTCACGGAAAATACGCTCGCCCCGCCTTCACTAGCAGCGCCAAGAATTTTCGGCGTATGAATTTCAATAAATCCTTTTGATATAAGGAATTCCCTAAATAGTTGACATACGCCTGATTGAATGCGAAAAATAGCTTGATTTGTAATTGTCTTAAAAAACATAATAATAAGAAGTTATTATTAAGGGAGAAAATAATAACAATAATAATAATAAGAATAAGAATAATAAGAATAATAATAATAATAATAATAATAATAATAGAAAACAATTATAGTAATAAAATAGGTTACTAACACGTAGATCAACGACACGATTATTTAAGCGTGTTTCTAGAGTTATACGATTGAATTGCGTGTCGGCCTAAAGAATTACAAGTTATATTGTTTGTTGGATCAGACTTTCGTACTTAAACTAAGATCATGTAAATCTACCATTATTTACTTGTTGGATTAGATCTTCGGGTCGTGTCGCTTCATCCATAGTAAACGGAAGTCGTCCAACAGTTTCGCTAATTGTATAAAGCTAAACAAAAAAAACCATAATAATTGAAATTCAACAAAATATCTCAAATCCTTATAAATAGTAAAATGAATCTTGAAAATACTAAAACAAATAACCCAATCGAGCCACCTTTTTTATATGTAATTCCGCATCAGTAACCGTCGTGCTCTTAATCTCTTCTTTTGTCTTTATAATTACACCTTCTACGTCGACAATTGACTCATCAGGTATACTATGTAATTGATGGTTATAATTATGATGATGATGATGATGACTATTATTAAAAACTACATCAGAAAAAAACAGGTTTACTTACCTTGATGCAAATTTCACAAATCCTTTACTCACATTATCCTTATCAACAGTTAGCACACCTTGAACTGTTGAGAACTGTTGACGAAACACAAAGAATGCAATTTGGCCTAAATTCAATAAGAAATATATATTTTTTCATTTGATCTGTTGATTTAACCGAATAGCATCCAAATAATAAAGAAATACTTTTGGCTCGAGAAGTCTGAACACGTGCACGAATCGTGATAATTTCTCCATCGCGACTACCATTGATCTCAGAAATTCGAATTCGTTTCGTGGCTTCAAGATATTTATTAAGGATCAAAGGAAAAACTTTTACAATACGAGCAAAAAAATTGGAAACTAATAATCTTATTATCATACCAGTTCGTTCTTGTGACTGGTTCAATGGTTTCTTTCCAAAATTCTCTGATCCGTAAGCCTGCATTAGAAAAATTATAAATAAGATCAATTAAAAAGAAAAGATGTTTTATTACAAACTTCTGCAGCCTTTCTCTCAAGTTCGATTCTTTCACGTTCTTTCTTTGCACGTTCTTTTTCACGTTTCTGTTCTAATTTCTTGAGTGCTTTTTTTGATAATGGTTTTCCTTCTTCACTAAAGTACATATAAAATAAAACGCGAAAGAAATATTGATTCACTCTACCAAATCGTGGTATCTAAATTACAAGACTCTTTAAAAATTTTACTCTAGTACAGTTTCCTCGAGCTTATCTGCAGTTTGTTCAATTGTTGATGACAATTCTTGTTGTTCGGCCATTTCTTTTATTTATTACTAGGTCAACGACAGTAACAATAATATCTGAATTCTTTGTCTCCCACTATCTACACAAAAGTTTATCGATCAACAAAAACGCGAGATCTTTTTGCCCATCAAATGATAGAATCATATATCATAAAGCATAATAAATATACAGTGTAATTTATTTAATTTATAATATGATGACAAAAGAAAAAAATTTCACCAAAAAACTGATGGTACTTTAATAACCTTTCCGTCCAGGCGGAAGCCCAAATCTTGTGTGCATTTGTGTAAATATGTGCGTGTATACCCACTGCCCATATATAGTCTCTAATCAAAATATTACATATAATAAATGAACTTATGGATTCTCTCGACTACGTAGACTAATCATAAAAATCCTATTACTTGTTAATATTAAATTATTGTGTGTGTGTGTGTGTATAATATAAAATAACTAAAAAAATTCGACCACACAAACAAACATCATCATCAATATCATCATCACCACCACCACCGCCACGAACATCAACAATACATGTAAAATTTCAGTTTTTTCCCCTGACTCACTCATCCTTTCTCTTTGTTTTCTGTTCTAATAATAATACTAATAATAATATTAATAAAATGATGATGACGATAATGACAATGATGATGATGATGATGATAATGATGATAATAATAATAATAATAAAAATTATCGGGGCGCGTGGAGAATTAGAAAGAAGAACCTTCAGGTGGTTGAGGTAATTTCTTGTTATGAGGATTGGCCATTTCGCTGCAGGTTAATAGAGAATATATTCGATATTCAATCATCGTAATTTGCCGAATCATAATTAATTAGAAAAAAATAGATTACCGTCGTAAATCTGTTAATACTGTTTCTAGGGTATAATTTCTTTTCCAATTGGCGAGACAGCTTAGCTTAGTGGGTTCAACCTGTTGAATATATATAATTAATATTCATATTCTAATCGATTAAAAATTAAGATATTAAAATAAGTTATTTAATTCTCACTTTGCCCGTTTGTTGATTAACACACGGCAAATTGATCCTGGAAATAAAATGAACGGATGGTGGCGAATCAGGGTAATTATCATCACAATGAAGTTTTAAACTATAAATCCGATTCTCATGAATAGTCTATTTGTAAAACAAAAAAAAAGTTATTCAAGGCATAGATCAAGCACAATCCCGTGAAAAATTTATCAAGATCTGAGAAAGACTTACATGACCCGGTCCTATGATGGTTCCATTCCAATCGCTCATATATATGTCATCTCCGTTAGAAAGACCATAGCTGCAAGTTCCGTCACCAATTCCCTTTTCACCTTTTTCGAGTTCCTCAAGAAGTCTAAAGTTGCGAGGTACTACGCAATGAATGTAACAAAGATTTACCACATATATTAGAGAAAAGTAAACAATTCAAAACTGAAAATATAAAAGATTACTAAAAAAAAATAAATCAAATCAATAATTGACGACGAAATTAAGTTGTTTAACACGAAATAAAACAGAATGAACCTAGCTTCTAAAGGTATAAAAGCTTGATATTATATAGAAAAAGATATTAGCGAATGTAAAACATACCTTTGGCCATGTTCTTGCAGCGAAAGTAATTTGATTAAAGGGGGTAATGAAAGATAAGTGAAGTGTCACAAATTCTGCGGTCTACATGATCTTCTACTACATGTGATTATTTGCTTGTATGCAGTCATGTGACTGCTAATTTGGCCAAATCTCTCTTATCCCTAATTATAAGCAAGACACAGATTCATGTGATTTTCTGAGTGATCAAATCGCAAAATCATTATGAAAGGGATCTCTCGTTCTTTTCCTATTGGTTATTTTAATAGCCAATAAGAATGCGCGGATTTTTTTCCAGCAATCAATAAGAATGATTAATTTGACAAAATAAATTAAATAATATTATAATTATGATAATATTCTCTGTAAAAAAAGTTTCTTATAATAATTATCATAATATTATATTAATTATGATTATTTCATAGTTGTTAGTTATATATTCTAAGAAGAATCAATTATATTATTAATAAATCAATTAGAAAATTTCATATATTATTTTATTTTTTTATTTAATATATTTTTTTTTATTTAAAAATTCTTTTGTATTATATAAAAAATAATTATTATAATTTTAAATAAAAATAATTTTATAAAAGAAATAAAATTATAAGTATTAGTTTCATAATATAATATATTATTAATAATTTTATTATAGATTTAAATAATTTTTAATTTTTATAAAAAATTAATATTTATTTTTAATATTTTTAATTTTTAATTCTTATTTTTGAATATTTTTATTTTTAGAATTAATTGAATTTTATTAATAAAAATATAAAATATAATTTTTAAATTTCAAATTACTTATATTTTTCTATAATAATCAATTTAATATTAATATATTTTCAGAATAAAGATCTTGATATTTAAACTTTTTCTGTAAATATTTTTATAATTATTAATAATTTAATTTAAATAACTTAATATTTAATATAAGTTAATTTTTTAAGTTAAAATTTATATATTTATAAAGATCTTAATCTTTTAATATTATTAAATAATTATATTTTTGATAACTAATAATATAATTTTAATTAAAATATTTAAAAAAATCTAAATTATTTTATAAAAATTTAATTATATTAGAAATATAAAGAATTTTTTCTTATATAATAATTTTATATTTAAATTTAATTTTTTATAATTTTATTTTCTATTTATTAATAGTTTATTTAATTAAATTACTTTATAAATTAATTTAAATCTTTTTATATAAAATATTTAATATAATAAATCTTTCAAAAAAAATTTAAAACTTTATATATTAATATATAATTATAAATTATTTATTTATTAATATTATATTTAAATATAATTAATTATAATTAATATTAATATTAATATTAATATTAATTTAAAATTAATAATTAAATACTAATATAGTCTAATATAAAAAGATTGTTATATTAGATAAATATTAATAGATTATTTTTTCAAAATAAAATTTTAATTCTGTTTTATTTAATTAAGTT